CCCAGCCCCAAGGCTGCCAGGAGCCCTTGGACACTCTGGGATGCCCAGAGTGGGATTGCTGGGGGTCTGGGCAGGGCCAGGAGCTGAACTGGGTGATCCCTTTGGGTCCCTTCCGGCTCAGGATATTCCATGATTCCTGTTGCTAAAGCAGTGCTAAAGCTTGTTATCATCATTGCAAAGTGCTCTGGGATTTATTGGTTATAAAGAATTCCTAAAGGGCCAAATGTTTTCACTCCCGAGTAGATTTCAAAGCAGGAAGGGAGCCACAGCCACCAGGAATGTTCCATGTGCACTTCCCAAGAGAGAAGCTGTGTGGGAAGCCTTTGGTGCAGAGAGGGTTTGGGGATTATTTTGGGGTGTTTTGTTGTTCCCTGAAGCTCTCATGACACCCTGTGGGCGTCCCCCTGTACTACTGCAGCTGCACAGACACCCAACAATTCCAGTCTTTTCCTCCCCAATGGCTCCTCACTTCTGTTCCTGCATTTTCCTCAGAGACTTTTCCTCCAGGCTGTAGCCCAGTCTTTAATGCTTTCAGCAAGGGACTCTTGTGGTGCCCCTGGATCCCTGGCAGTGCCCAAGGCCAGGCTGGACACTGGGACAGTGGGAGGTGTCCCTGCCATGGCAGGGGTGACACTGGAGGGGCTCTGAGGTCCCTCCCACCCAAACCATTCCAGGATTCTGAGCTCCTATGAAAAGAACAGTCAGTGCTCTGCCAAGCTGAGATTCAGACTGAACCTCAGATGAAAACTGAGGTTGAATTTCATGGGGAATATTTTCCCAGATGAGAACAGCAGCAGCAGCAGAGTCAATCCTAGGGATCTGCTCATTCCTGCAGCTCAGCAGTGGTGCCAGACCCGGTTCTGTGGTTCTGTGCAAGGTGAGACAGTGCAGAGGCACATCCTGAGAGCTCCACTGGGAAATGAGGCCCAGGGAATTCTGTGTGGAATGAGGGGAAGCCTTTGAAGGAATAGCGAACTTACAAGGGTGGGAGAACGAGAGCAATGTCCCTGCCAGGGGCTGGTGAAGGCCCTGAGTGCTCCAGACCCAGTAGGGCCTTCAAGTGTTGGGGGGAATAAATCGAATGGAGGCCTCCAGGGTGGATATTTCTCAGGGAATCACAGAGACATGGAATGACATAGAACTGTGGAATGGGTTGGATTGCAAGGGACCTCAGAGCCCCTCCAGTGGCACCCCTGTCACAGCAGGGACACTTCCCACTGTCCCAGTGTCCAACCTGGCCTTGGGCACTGCCAGGGATCCAGGGGCTCTGGGCACCCTCTGCCCACCCTGCCAGGGAACAATTGCTCCTAAGATCAGAATTATTTACTATTAAATTTATTACTTACCTAAGTTAACCCTCTGGTTAGGTGTCCACTGGAATGTTTTCTGCAAGGGAGAGCAGGTGGCACCCTCCTGTGAGCCATCAGGAGAGTGTCCTGAGCTGAGCTGAGCTGGGCTGGGAGTGATGAGCTGGGCTGTGTTGGGCTGAGCTGAGCTGAGCTGGGCTGAGCTGGGTTGGGCTGAGTGGAGCTGAGCAGAGCACAGCTGGGTTGAGCTGAGCTGGGCTGAGCTGAGCTGGGTTGAGCTGAGCTGAGCCTGGCTGAGCTTCCCAGCAGCTCTGGTGATCTCAGCCCATCCCAGCCCCAAGGAACCGGGCACACTTTGTCGTGTGGGAAAAGACATCCATGGACTTCCTGTTCCCCTGGGAAACCCGTGGATCCTGGCTTCGAAGGCTGCCCTTTCTCTCGCTGTGCGTGGTGAGGGTGGACAGGAAAACTCCAGCTCCAGCAGCCAGGACTGGAATCCAGCTGCAAGGAATGACCCACCCGCCGGCATGTCCCGGCCTCCAGCTGCAGAAATCCCCAGCTGGTGCTCAGTGCATCACTTCCCAGGGAAAGGGAAGTGCAGTCTGCATCCTTTCGAGGACAGAGCAGGGTAATCTCACTGTTTGCAATTGTGTCTGACACCTCTGGGCAGGGCAGCGGCCAGAGCCGCTCCCGGAGCTCCAGGGCTGCTGCACTTCCCAGGCCAGGTGAGATCAGCAGCCCTGGCAATGCCTCACACCTGAGTGCTGGAACCCCCCCCGCTGGCAGTGCGGGTCACGGGAGCCCACTGGAGCCATCCCATCCCACCCCCTGTTCCAGCTCCCTGCTGGGATCACCTTGGGGTGCAGCTGCTCCTTCCTTCCCTGGGGTTCCAAGCCCTGGTGCTCCTTCCCTGACCCTTCTCCCATCATTTGAGTGTTGGATTGCTCCCATCCCTAGGTGCACTGAGTCATGATTTCAAACAGACGTGGAACCACGTCTGCAGCAGCAAAATGCCAAGGTGGATCCAGAACAGCAGCTGGAAAGATTTGTCTGAGGGAAGGAATTGGGATTTTACACTGAGGGGGAGTCCCCACACATCTGCTGAGGGGAGGGCACCGTGCTCATCTGTTGCCCTTCCCGAAGGGAATCATCAATCCCCAATTCTTGATTAGGTCACAGTCAATTCCATGGCTTCTGTGAAGATCCTTGACACTGGGAATAGACAAAACCACCCCCAGTGAAGGGAAGATAAATGCCCTTGGAGGGAGCAGATGTCCTCGGGTTGTCATTGGCGAAACAGCCTCGACTCAGGGAATTTCCCTTTTTCTATTCACTGTCGTTTGCTGTTGCTCCACATTGTTGAATCTGCTGTCAATCATTTCTGCATGGTTTATCCCCACAGCACTGACCTGTCAGAGGTACCTCCTTTGGCTCCAAGTTGCAGTGTCCTCCCGCTGTGTCCTGGAACTGTGGCCTTCTGTGTGCTTTCCTTGCTTCCTCCCTCACATTTCTTCCTGGGCCCCAGGCCAGAATCAACCTGGAACCACAGAACTGACCAGACATTAAATATCTGACTTACTCTATGTTCAGTGTCAGCTTTAATAACACAACTGTTGGGGAGCATGAGGAGATTCAGAGCTGAGCCTGGAACAGGCTGTGCTTGGAGCACTCTGGGGTAGTGAAAAGTGTCCCTGCCCAGGGCAGGGGGTGCAACTGCATGGGCTTTGAGGTCCTTTCCTCAATATTATTATTACTTCCTTAATATTATTATTTAATAATAATATTAAATATTATATTACACATCATAATGTATATTATTTAATATACTAAATATTATATACAATAATATTTGTAAATAATAATAGAAAATACTATATGTAATACATATTTATTAATATAATAATGTATAATCTATAATATAAAATATGTACAATAAATATATACATTATATATTAATATACAGAATATATTATAATATTATAATTAATATTAATATGCTTTCACAAAATACTAAAACAGAGACTAAAATAGTTCCATGTATCTAACTCAGAGAACGGTGACAAGCAATTATTATGTTTCTTACATCTACAGACTATCCTCTCCAAGTGATAACAGTGACAAAAAACAGAGCATAAATCCGAGAAAGATTTATCCCCTCTATCTTTGCCTCTATTTTTATCTTTTTGCTGTGCCTGCCTGGGTTCTTTTGGGGGGCTCTGGGCAGGTGCCCCCTTTCTATTTTAAACAAATAGAAAGCTTTCTTGCTTTCTTTCTTGGGCTTTCTTGCCAAGCAGGACGTGTCTGCTGCCCTGGGTCACAGCTTGGGAAGACATCCATGCTTCTATTTACACCTGTTATAAAAGCATATGATATTATTGGCTTTTCACAAATATTATATGTATAAGATTAGAAAATTTTGTTGTATTAATATAGTTTCCTTTATTTCTGTTACTGATGAAACTTAGAAATAGTGGTATAATACATATATGTTAGGCTGTAACATGATATTTAAGCACAAACTACTTTTTTGTTTATATAAGCCAGAGACTAAAAAAGAAAATAGTCAGAGACCCCCTTTCATCCTAAGATTATCTTGTCCAGAAGAAGACAAGCAGTCCTCCAAGCCCTCCAAAGGAAAAATTTATGGCACCTGTTATTGAAGGACATAAAACCTAGTGGTGCCAAGAAGACTGACCAAGGAAAGGCAAAACTAAACAGAGAAACACCAAAAATCCTAAGAAGAATGTCTGAATATGTATGAGAATTTATGAATATGTAGTAGGATTCTGTTTTTAAGGGACAATCCTTTGTTAGTAAGGTGTGCTCTCTTGGCTGAACGCAGAGACACCCGGCCGTATCTGTATACTTTATTGTTATCTCCTAATTGTCTTTCTATTAAACTTTTACATTCTATAAAAAAATACGTGAACCCCGTTTTTCACACATGACACATCCATTTACACCCAAGAGACGTGGCAGGTGACAGGAGACACGGCAGGCGGCACACCAGGAGTCAACACTCCACAAGACCCCCAACTATGTGATAAAGGCCCTTCGAGGGAGCTCAGGCTCCTCCTTTGAGGCTGTTTCAACCATAGCCAAGACCCTGTTTCACAATCCCTGCCTGTTCTCCATGACTCCCTGGGCGAATTGTTCAGTTTCTCACTCCTGAGACGTCGCCATCGCTGTCACTGCGGAGGTGGTGGGCACCGGGCCGTGAGGGAGCTGCCGCCATCTTTCCCCCTCAGCCACCGCGCCAGCGCAGGCTGCGGGACCCGCCGGCGAGGGCGGAGGAGGGAGCAGAGGATGCCGGTGGCACTTGGTGGCGGCGGGACAGGGGAGCAGTTGGCGGCGGCAGCCAGGCCGCCATCACACGGGGAACGCCGCGGCGGAGCGCCAGCACCGCCCCGAGGCGACCCCGCCGCCATCTTTGCTGCCCCTCAGGCGCCGCCGCCATCTTTGCTTGTCGCGCCGAGAGGCGGGAACGCGGGCGGGGTGGGCGTGGCTCCCCGGGCCCCGCCCCGCGCTGTGGGCGGGCCCGGCGGGCGGGGTCACATGACCGCGGCCCGTGCGCAGCCGGAGCCAACATGGCGGCGGCGGCGGGCGCAGGGGCCGCCGCGCTCGGCGCTGCCCGCCTTTAGGGGCCGCCGCCCCGGCCCCGCCGCCCCCGCGCCCGCCGGACACCCCCCGAGCGCCCCGAGCCCCGCCGCGTCCGACATGAGGGAGAAGGGCCGCAGGAAGAAGGGCAGGACCTGGGCAGAGGCCGCCCGGACGGTGCGCGGGGGGGCGGCGGGGCGGGCCGGAGGCCGCGGGGCGGGTCGGGGCGCTCCCGGCGGGGCTCGGGGCGGGAGGGGACGGGACCTGCGGCGGGGCCCGCCCGGCTCTGCCGCCGCTCCGCTCCGCCAACCGCGCCTGCACGGCCAGCCGCTTGATTTTGACCTGTTCTCCAGTTGCTCCGTGCTTCCCGGCAGGAATTTCCCTGGGAAGCGGCGTGGGGGAGGGATTGCCGCTTGGATTCGCCCTGGCGAGGGAGGGTGGAAGTCACATCCGCGAACAAGTGACAGGCACGGGGGGCTTGCGGTGCGAACACAAGCGTGTGCCCTCCGTGCAGGTGGGAGCCGCTGGGCTGCCCCAGGTCAGGGAGAGCTGCAAATCCTAAAAGCTGAATTTTTATCGGCCGGTTTCCCCTCGTGGCAGGGTTTGTTGCTGTCCTGTCGCCTCGCTGGCCTCGCTGCGCTCCCTGTGAGGGCCGAGAACAGAGGGTGGAGAAAAGGGAAGTTCAGCAGTGGGACGGGAATGAGAGAGGAAACTCCACAAGTGCGACCTGCTGGGCTGAAACGCTGAGTTGTGAAAGCTCAGCTCACACTTCCCAGATCGGGATAAATCCCTCTCATGGAGAGGGGGAGGAGCTGGGCTTCTGAGAACCCTCCTGGAAAAGGGATCTGTTCAAACAAGTCTTGAAAAGTCTGGCTGGGAAGCAAATGTAAATAGAAACCTGCGGCTGAGACTTGCAAGGGATGTTTTAATAAATAAATTCATTTGGACCTCGTGTTTACAGCTTGAGAGGCATCAGAATAGCTGCTGTGTCCAGGAGATGCAGTGCATTTAGATATTTTTAAGAAATAATTTACTGGCTGGCAGGCAAACACTTTGGTGTTACTTTGCATATGTTTTTGTATAAAATTTTTAACAGTGTCTTGAGCAGTGGCAGGATCTTCAGTGGAGGGGAGAAGTGGGATCAGCTCTTTTCCAGCCTCTGTGCACTGCTGTCCATCCATTGATCCTTTCCAGAATCCACTTAAGGGCTAAACCATGTATTTAGCAAAGCTGCACCGAGACCTGTCAGCACTGCAGGTTACACATTGCCCAGAGCCAGGGCACAGGCAGGCAAAAGGAGGGAAGGATGAGTAAATCCCTGCCAAACCCCAGCTCTGGCAAATCTGTGTGCTCAGCAGGAATGTTGAAGGACTCTGGTCAAACTCCAGCTCAGTCTCCCTGAGGTTTTCGTGTGCTTTGGGGTTGAAATCGTGGCTGTGGTTCTTGTCCTGGGCTGTGTGCTGGGCTTGGCTCTCAGCTGCTGCTTGGGGTTTGGAGGGAAAATTGTAAAACCATGCTAAGGAATGGAAAAGCTCTCAGGTGTCTTGTTCTGCTTTTGGAAGGTGACATAAGACTGTCCCCAAGCTCAGTAATCTCCCCTTTTGTCTCCGGGTGTCCCCTGTGTGTGGAGGCTCCCTCAGTGAGCTCTGAGCTGGTTCTGGGGTGACCCCAAGAGTCACTGGGCTGCAGGGGATGGGCCTGGGGCTCTGCTTATCACGGGATCAGAGTCATCCAGCTTAGAAAATCCCTCCCAGCCCATGGAGCCCCAGCTGTGCCTGATCCCCACCTTGTCCCCAGCCCAGAGCTGTGCGTGCCACATGCAGGAATTCCCTGCACACCTCCAGGGATGAGACTCCAGCAGCTCCCTGGGCAGCCCCTGCCAAGGCCTGAGCTCCCTTTCCAGGCAGAAATTCCTGCTGCTGTCCAAGCTGAGCCTGCCCTGGCCCAGCCTGAGGCCATTTCCCCTTGTCCTGTCCCTGTTCCCTGGGAGCAGAGCCCGGGCGCTCCGGGCTGTCCCCTCCTGGCAGGGACTTGTGCAGAGCCACAAGGTCCCCCCGGAGCCTCCTTTTCTCCAGGCTGAGCCCCTTTCCCAGCTCCCTCAGCCTCTCCTGGGGCTCCAGCCCCTTCCCAGCTCCCTCAGCTGCTCCTCACAGACCTGACTCTCTAGGCAAGTTTCTCCTGAGAAACTCCCCAGCTCCCTGCAGAGCAGCCTCAGGTCATCCCAGCTGGATTTTCTGGGACAAGTCTGCCTCCCCTCTGCCTCCCCTCTTGCTCTGTCACCTCTGCACTGGTGCTCACAGGTGGTTGAGGCAGCTAAACCAGCAAAAACACTGTTTTTTATAATTGACTTGTGGTGCTGATACTTTTGTGTTCCATTTTAGTCCTCCTGGCCAGGAGTTTAGGAGTTTGGGATTAGGTGTCCCCCAGTTCTGGGGAGGTCATGGGAATGCAGAGGTAGTTTGTTCTTGAGTTAAATGAATCCCTTGGAGCAGCTCAGAGGTGAGACGTGGCAGTGAGGCCGTGCTGGCAGGACCTGGGGGAGCTGTAGGGACGAGGGAATTCCATGGGACTCCAGCTGTGCTGCTCCGGGGAGGTGTGTGGGGCTGGAAACTGGGGCAGCAGAGCAGCGTGAGGTGAGAGCAGGGTCCCTGTGAGGGCAGGAAGTCACTGTTGATAAACAGCCTTTTCTCATTTCCTGCCTCGCTCGCTGCCTGTGCAGCTGCCTGGGCTGGGGACGGGCCTGGGGTCCCTGCAGCTCCAAAGCCACCTGCAGGAGGGGAGGGAGGAGGAGCTGGGAGCACAGGGGTGAGCAGCACACAGGCTGCAGGTGCTGTGTTCAGGCTGCCCCTGGCCCGTGGCACTGCTCCAGCTGCACCTGGAGCTGCTGCCTTGTGGTCACGCATCCAGAGCTGTGCAGGGTGTGTGTGCACAGCCAGGGGGGTGCCCGAGCTCAGGGCTGTGCCTCTGGCAGCCCAGGGTTATCAGACATCTGGAACTGCTGCCTGTTCAGCCAGTGCTGGCAGGGAGAGCAAGGCTGGGCTAGGACTGGCCTAGTCTTGGCTGGGATGTGTTCTCCTGCTGCATCCCACACACCCAGGGTGGGCAGCAGGGAGGAGAATTCTGCCCCTGTGCTCAGGTGAGACCCCAGCCCTGGGGATCCCAACAGCACAAGGACCTGGAGCTGCTGGAGAGAGCCCAGAGGAGGCCCTGGAGCTGCTCCTGGGCTGGAGCCCCTCTGCCATGGAGCCAGGCTGGGAGAGCTGGGGGTGCTCACCTGGAGAAGGATCCAGGGAGAGCTCAGAGCCCCTTGCAGGGCCCAAAGGGGCTCCAGGAGAGCTGGAGAGGGACTGGGGACAAGGGCTGGAGGGCCAGGAGCCAGGGAATGGCTGCCAGTGCCAGAGGGCAGGGCTGGATGGGATTTGGGGCAGGAATTGTTCCCTGGCAGGGTGGGCAGGCCCTGGCACAGGGTGCCCAGAGCAGCTGGGGCTGCCCCTGGATCCCTGGCAGTGCCCAAGGCCAGGCTGGACACTGGGACAGTGGGAGGTGTCCCTGCCATGGAACTGGGTGAGCTGTAATGTTGCTTTCCACCCAAAGCATTCCATGGTTCCATGGTCACCACTGTAGTGTCCAGTGGGTGCTCCCAGGGCTGAGGTTGGAGGTGCCCTGGTGTTCCCCGGCTGACAGCACTCGGGCTGTGCAGCAGAGAGCTGCTCTGGGATGTCCTGGCTGCTCTGGGATGTCCTGGCTGCTCTGGGATGTCCTGGCTGCTCAGGTCCTGCAGTTGCTGCTTTTCCTCTCCCTGTGTTCACCACA